TGAACATAGATCATATTCAATATGAATTCAAAAATTCCCCTAAAATATATGGATTCAAACCACTCCTAATAATTTCCCGATGCAATGGTGCGGGGTATTTTTTTTAGTTTATTTATATTACATATAAAAAGAGAAAGCTAAAAGGGAGCAGCACATTCCCGGGCCCGCTACAGAGCAGAAAGCAGCCGGAAGCGGGAGCGAAAGCGCCTCGAGACGCGCCGTGCTCCCGCACACTCCACTTCATCACACTCTGCTGTGCTCCGCGTCCTCCAATCCGGCGCCCCCAAAATCGTCGGAGCCCAATGGCGGCAGCCTCGCCTCCCTCCCTCCACCTCGCCCTCCTCCTCTTCGCAGTCCGCGCGGCCGTCAGCGGCGCCGCGGGGGCGGTCGGGGTGAGCGGCGGCGGGCAGCTGTGGTGCGTGGCGAAGAACAACGCCGAGGACGGCGCGCTGCAGTCGGCCATCGACTGGGCCTGCGGCCCCGACGGCGGCGCCGACTGCCGCGCCATCCAGCAGGGCGGCGCCTGCTACGAGCCGCCCGACCTCCTTGCGCACGCCTCCTACGCCTTCAACGACTACTTCCTCCGATCCGGCGGCGCCGCCAGCCCCGCCGCCTGCGACTTCTCCGGCGCCGCCGCGCTCATCGGCCTCAACCCTAGTAAGCACCGGCTCGACCCGGATTCTCTCGTGGATGATGAAGCGTCCATTGATTTCAAATTTACCAAGCATTGTTTTGCTTCGCTAAAGGCTGGATTCATGCTATGGAGTTGTGACACCTTGGTGTCGGTGCTGCCACCGGCATTTGTTTTTGCAGGTCATGGGAACTGCGTGTTTCCTTCCAGGTTCGTGCACCGCGCCTGGCCTCCAAGTTCAGCTTTCATTCTTTGAATGGTATCTCTGCATTCGCCATCTTTGAGTATCAGTTAATCTTCTGGCTTCCTGCCTAAATTGTGGATATTGGTCCTATTGTTCGAGGAACTGGATATTTTATTTCAAAATTATCAAGAACCAACAAAGCAGAGTGTGTGTGTTAGACTGTTGGAGGGTCGTGTTTGGAAGTGTCACCCACATCATTGTCAGAAACAACTTGAGCTCAGTGCTAGAGATTGAAAACCAAAATCTCTAGAAAACATAACTTCTGTTAAGTGCCCTATAGACAAATACTGTAGTCAATATTGCATCAGAAGGGCAGATCAGATGATCTATATCAGTTATCTTTTGCAAGCATCAATTAATTGCTAGGTTTTATCAAATCTCAGTATCAGTAACTACATGGAATGCATGGCATTTTGTGTGGTTGAGACTAGACTCAGGGCTAGGATAAGCACTAGCTATGAAGAAAGTGTCCATCTGATGATAGGACCTAAGCATGCTATTAGTCTTTCCTTCTCCTTTTTCTTCCCCGAGTTCATCTGATGATACCCTTTTAGTCTAGAAATATTAGTATGGTCAAGGCTAGTAATGCAGTTTGTCTAACCAATCATTCTTCGTGAGTTATGTACTGCCGATTCTTTTCTTTCTAAGTTTTAATTACGTGATGTTCACAGAATCTAATCAAGTATTATTTTACTTCTCCATTCATCATATATTAATCTAGTGAGCATGTGAGCGGGTTTCAAATATCATTTGCATTTATTTGGTCGGTATCATGGTATATGTCATCACTGATTCTCTGGTGCCAAGTTTTTAACTTTCAACTCGGCTCATCACCATGTTCAGTTCCTGGCTCCGCCCTTGCACTAGTTGTTCCTCCACCATGCTCCGCCCTTGCCCTTGCACTGTTTCATCCATGTTGATGGTGTGGTTTTGAGGTAGTGGTGTAGATATCTTTTTTTTTTCTGTCACAATAAAATACCAATTTATTGCTTTCACATACATACACATTGCTTAACCATATCATGCATTGGAGGATACCAGTTTTTAATTCGACCTTTAAAATTGTTGGGTGTAATCTTTCATATGATTTATATATCATTGATTGAGTGAGAATGATATAAGACTGGCATGCATGTCTACATGTAGTTGTACACATAATTAGTCGTCAAATAAATTTTACCAGTCATAGATATCCACTAGACCACTAAGGTGAGATACCAATTGTAGTTCCGTAGCTAGACACTTACCCAAAGTTTTGGAGGTTCTTTCTAAGTGATTAGCATATCTGTTGCATGGAAATATGGAATGGAACAAGCAAATTTTATTTGGTACGTTATTGAAGATACACATTTTAGATTCAGCTTGTTGACGTGTATATGTGGATTGCTTATCCCTTTCCATCAGTTCAGACTTTTAGTTGCGTTGGCTAGTGCATGAAGCTTAACATGGTATCAGGGCCTAAGATCTTGAGTTCAAATCCCGACTTTCACAATTTATCCAAAAATTGATGCCACTCCCTCTGTGTCCACGTATAGGCTTCTTGAGCCATACCTCTGAGTCTATTCACGTGTTGGCTAATGCATGAAGCTTAATGCAACTTATGGTTATTGTGTTGTGCTAGTTTTTATTAAGCTGCCGCGGAAAAAAAGTTGTGAAAAATTACTCTGTTTTGATAAATTAAACTATGATTATATTTCTTGATCCAATGGTCTTCTCACATTTCATATGTTCTAGAAAGTAATAGTATATCCCTTTTTGAAGTCATGAGAAAAGGCAGTTAGCCGAACACACCCAAATATCCCAAAACAGCTTCACCAACAAGATTATCATAATCCACCTGAGCCAAGAGTCACGATAATGCAGCCAGTTTGCCTATTTCAATTCTTAGAAACTGGATCATGGAAAATTCTTTTTTGAGCTACATATTGTTTAACATGTCTAGTCTTTGCGGAACCATTAACCCCATACTTGTCCCACTGCAGTTCATCCCCCAGAAATGGCAGCTTCACAGGAATAACAACCTATGGTCGGACCGGTGCAGATTTAAGCCAAAGTTCTTCATGGCAACTCAACACCTGGTCATTTATTTTGTGCATATCTCTGTCTGCAACAATTTTTGTTGTCTCGCGTTTCTGATGGGTTTGCTTAACTCCTGTCTGCATGTCTATGTATATGATAAACTATTGAGCTGCAGCAATGCATTGTGTTTTCCATATGTGATGGAGCGTGGAGTGAGGAAAAAAAGATCCTCTCTTGATGCTTCCCCCCTTTTTTTCCTGGTCTTGCAACTGAGCAATCAGAGGGGTTCTTGCCCCCGTCGCCTCATGTACACGCATTTTCTTTATGCATTCATTCATCTCCTACTACATTTTATTTGGTTCGCTTCGGTTTTATGTATTCATCTCCTGCTATCTGTTATATTTCATTATCACATTCCTGATGATTAGATTGACATTATGTCATGCATTTCCCTGCTCGAATGCTGCGTCGACTTGAAATATTTGGGTCTCACATGTTGACATTGGAAGTGTACAATTTGGCAATCAATTCATGCCTTCATGGGATCCTGATGGCTGAGATGCAACTCCAAGTGAAACACACGAGTCTACAGTTCACACTATATATATACACCGGCATACATGCAGGTTTTATCTCGAAGTTCAGAAAAAAGCTGTACAGAGATATCTCTTGCGGATGTGATGGTCGATCAATCTATGCAGGTGAGAGGCAAGCAAGGTCCTGAGCCGAGCGATCACCGCCGACCGTGCACCGGCAGAGAGGGCACGTCGAGTGCGCGGCGAGCCACAGGTCGATGCACTCGACGTGGTACACGTGGGCGCACGCCGGCAGCAGCTTGGCCATGGCGCCGACCCGGATGGCGCCGAGGCAGACCGCGCACTCCGTCGAGCCCGCGTCGTCGCCCTTGCCGCTGTGCCGGACGAGCCGGTTGTACATGAACGGCGGGAGAATGCTGGACGCCACCGTGGTCACCGCGAGCGGCCGGCGCTCCTCCATGTCCCCGTCCGGTGCGTCCGCGCTGGGGTGGTGCCGCCGTTGGCGCACGAGGTGCTTGTACAGCGAGAAGAGGCCGAAGGCGGCGGTGACGGCCGCCGCGGCGGCGTAGAAGAGGAGGAGGCTGTCGGGCGACATGGCGAAACGCATGCCGCTTAGCCTAGCTAGGAGCCGAGCTTGGAATGGGCGTGAGCTGAGGGGCGCTGGAGTGGAGCTGCGTGTGGCATGATTCAGTTTATGTCTCTTGTGGTTGCGTGCACAGTACTGCCTCCGCCTCGAAGTTTTTGAGCTGAAGTGGACCGTTCTGATGATTAGGTTCAGTTTGTCTGACTGATTGAAGCCTCAACTGACGCTTCTCTGGTGGTTAACATAGCAGCAGCGGCGGCGAGAGCGACCATTCCACTGATTTGAAGGGGTCGGTAGTAGTACGGGTTCGTAACAAATGAAGAGATCCTTGCGTGCATATCTTATTTATCAGAAGATTATACGCTCTGGATTATGCTAATGAGTAATAGTATATTGTTGACAGCGACTAGGGAATTGAACGAGAGGCCGGGCTACATATTTGGCAGACGGTCACATCAGCAATTTGCGAGGCTAAGTCTCAGTCGACTATGACTTAATCAAGTTCCGTGTACGCTTAACTTTTTTTTGCGGGGTTAAAGGAATTTCATTGCTCAAACTGGAGGAAGCTCCTCCAAACAAAGTTGGGGTACAATAGCAGGGCCAGATTTTAGCCAAACTGCCGTCCTAGCTTCTACACGACCAAAAGTCGCCAACCTATGACTGACAGTATTTTGACACCTACTAATATGAGCAATGGAACAATCCCTACCACCAAGAAGCGACTTCACTTCATTTATCATCATCGCATGCAGCGACCTATCCTCCACTGGTGCCCAAATCGAGTCCACGGCAACCAGACAATCCATCTCGACATCCACACGAAGTGGCGACCATTGCATAGCAAAGTTTAAACCCTCCAAGCAGGCTGCAAGTTCAGCTTGCAAGGGATTTGCGCAGTTAACCAGGCTTCTGCAAGTCGAGAAAATGATGGCACCGTCGCTATCGCGTAGTACCATGCCCGCACCTGCCTTTCCAGAAGCTTCACAGTAGGACCCATCAACATTTAATTTTACACGACCATGGGCTGGAGGTTGCCATTTGATGGGGAGAGACTGAGTGCCCTCTGCATGTGATAGCAGCGGCAGCCGGCCTCCATCATCAGTCACCATTTTACCTTTAACAAGATCACCTGCAGGATACCTCTTGATAGCGAGCAACGACGATTCATAGCTGAGTAAGAATCGGCAAGATACTTCAACTGGGGGCAGACGTTTGTCGTGGACGATTTCACTTCTAAGGTGCCAAGAGCGCCAGAGTACCATCAACACTCACATGCGGTCATCGGCTCCTAGATTGTGCAGGACGTCGAAGAGCCATTCAACGCCCGTAGGATGCATAGTGGTTAAGTTCGGCAAGTTCCAATGTTTGGCCATAGCTCGCCAGAGCTCCACCGCGGGGACATCTGTAAAACACATGGAACACTCAACTTATCATACCGAATTTAAGCACTTTTTTGGTTCTCAAATGGAACGTGCGGATGGACACGGAAATATGATCCTCAATCTTGCGTAAAAATGCTTATGGCAGCTTCGTGTCCCTGGGAAAATTAAACATTTCAACTGGGAAGGTGCTACGGGACGTTCTCCCGTGCTACAGCGTCCTTGCAGGGCGTCAGATCCCGGTTATCCCACAATGCCCGCTGTGTCGAGTGGGATATGAGGACATCCAGCATTGCTTATTCTCGTGTTCGTGTGCGAGGGAGGTTTGGTTAGCTTTAGGTCTAATTGAGATTATCGACAAGGCGGTCAGTGAAGACCGTTTAGGATCTATCACAATGGACATTCTCTTACGACAGCAACAGACGATTGAAGGTATGAACTTGGCCTGAGTTGGCGATCATTGCTTCTTGGTATATAATGATAGCAAAGAAGGCAAAGTACAAAGGGAGAGACCATCCAGGCTCCAGATCGGACATCTATCTCAATCTGGGTTTTGGCGATGAATTACACTAGAGCATATACGCCAAAACAACCGGTCCGGCAGTATGATAATATGTGGAAGAGGCCGCTGACGGGAATTACTAAGGCTCCGCTTGGATTAGCGTTTGGCCTCTCAATACCCCTGTAAAAACGATACAGACCTCTAGGCGTCGTTTTTTCTCCCGGCGAAACTCACGCTGCGGCCGGTATAATACAAGTGTATACAAAATCCGGATGTAATATCTTACACCGAATCCAAGCGGGCCCTAAAGTGAATGTTGATGCTTCCTTCCATTATGAAACTATGCCCGGTGCAACTGGGGCTGTTGCCCGAGACGACCATGGAAATTTTATAGCAGCAGCTACATGGGTTTTGCCTCAAATTTCCAGTGCTGTATCAGCCGAGATCGATGCTATTCGAAACGGCCTATACTTAGCATCGCAGGTGGGTTGTAATCGCGTGTTAATCGAGTCAGATTGCAAGGCGGCCGTTGACGTGGTGATGGGCATAGAAGATTATCTCGGTCCTGATGTTTCAGTAGTTGCTGAATGTGAACTTTTGGCTCTAGATTTTGCTAGTGTTGGCTTTGCCTTTTGTCCTAGAGAAGCTAATGAGGTACAGTAGCAAATAGTTTAGCTAAGGATTCTTATTGTAGTAAATCTTCCTACTCTTGGGATACTATCCTTGATTTATTCTCTCCTACATTATAAACGATATGGCTACCATTTCAGGAATAAAGTCTCTTATTTTCAAAAAAAAAGTGGCATAACACATAAGAAAGAAAAAAAAACTTGAAAGAAATCTTCACCCAAGATCTCATGAATATAACATCGGCTGAGACATAACCAAGTCTCAGTCGACTAAGATTTAGCAACACTGTAATCGTAATTTATCGGTGTAGAAACTGAAACGCGTTCCATGGCAAAGGAAGCAACCTCACTTATCATCCGCAGCTCTACAAGAATATCGTAGGAGACAATTCAATTTCTCTGATGATAACCAACAATTCTAATATTTGAACGGGCTTTAGCCACAATCATGATCGACAAAGTCATGATATATGTTTCACTATCGATGAAAATGCCATCTTCTACTAGAATATTACTACACGGGAGATGTCTTCATCATAACCCAGGCTAATTCCCTAGCTATGCCTCAATGAGATATGCAAAGTTTGATCCTTGCCGGGCTAAAGTTCAACAACCCTCCCGACCATCTAACAATGTGTTTTTTTTTTGTGAAAACAATTTTTGTGCACCATAGAGAATATTCCC